GAATGTACCTGGCATTTTATAAGCTCTTCAGTATGTTGCACAAATAAGTCTCCTTGCACTCAGTATGCAGTCCCTGGTTTCCAAATCCTCTACAGGAAATCTTCCTGAAATACCATTTCATGAAGCTGGGACGATGCCACCCAGCTGCCTGAATGCCTAGCAGCTGGAGGAGGCAGTCCAGTTCCCAGCTCTGCTGGCCTAGGTCATGTGATCACTTAGCTCCAGCAACAGGTGCCAGGGCTGGGCTCTGTTATCTTTCCATACCCTCCAACATCTCTCTGATGAAAATAGGGGTGTCCTGTTTTATAATGATAATTTTACTATTTATACCCCACACATCTTACTAGGTTGCCCAAGCCACTCCAGGCAGCTACCAACATATATAAAAACATAAGAAAACATTTTTAAAATCCCTATACAGGATTACCTTCAGACAACTTGGGGGTCACATAACCCCATACCCTCTGGCATCAAATCAGAAACTGACAACAGCTTCTGTAAATCAGGGACATCCCTGGAAGACAGTGGCACTTGGAGGGTCTGTCTTTCCCTGATTTTTCCTTTGCTGTCTCTGGTCTCCTGCCTCCATTCAGCAGAGGAGGGGGCCTTCATACGGAGAAGGATCGGGGCCAACAGGGCATAGCTGGTGCCTTCAGATGACTGCAGTGAAGGGAGAACCATTTGGAGGAACAGCTTGCTGCAATTTTGGAAAGGGATGGAAAGAGCACGGCTACATCGTGGTTTGGTTCTTCAGGTACTTGTTGTTCAAGTTGTTCCATGGAATTCCTGATCTGGACCTTGTGTGGGAAATGAGTTCTCTCCATCACAAGAATAATTTTTGAAGCTTTACTGCACAAGAGTTTTAAACAGTCTTACAATAAGATGAACTTGATAAAGAAGCACGTTGCAAACAATGTTCAGTCCTTTATGTAATCCTGTGAACTTTCCTCTCTCTAGTCCCAGAGGGAGATCCTAAGCTTCTTCATCATTGCAGAACTTATTTGCAACTGCTGCTGCTTCTCCTAGCCATCTCCAACAAGCTCCCACTGACTTCTCAAGTTTAAGCTTCCTTCTGTTAGAGCTCTGCAGCTTCTGTTTCCAGCGATGAGTTATTAGGAAAGATACCAGCCTCCTCTGCTGCTTTTGTCAGAGTGGAACCTCTGAGTGGAACCTCTTGCCGAAAAGGTTGCACTCTTTCTTCTTCTATGTTTGCTACATATGCCACAATGTTCTCTCTCTTTTTCTCCAATGTTCCAGGCGACCACAAATGAGTGTCTAAAGGGAAACCAAAAGCTCAGAGGTGGGACGGGGGGTGGGGGTGGGGAGTCTGGAATATCAGGTTGCCTTGTAGTGCCTGGGGGCCCTGCTATTAGATTTGTATCTCGTAAGTGTTGTAGGAGCCTTTAGGTTTTTTAGCTGTATATTTAAAAAACAAGGCTCTCATGAGATGTTTCATTCTTTTGTTATTCTGACACTGCATTGTACAGGAGCACATTTGCACAGCTTTTTAAAATAGTGATTTTTTTAATATGTAAAAAGAATAAAAATGCATGATAAAGGGTTTATTTAGAAGCAGAACAAGCATTTTATTTTATTTTAAATAACAGAGGGATGAGGCCCAATTCTTAGTGCTCATCCCAGGTTAAAGATTAGCAGCCACACCCTCACAAAAAGCTATGAAAGGATTTTGTTAGCAAATGTCAAGGTGAATTCCTACCTTGTATTCCTGGGCTGACTCTTCCTTGAGAACCACAGTTCTCACTGTGGACGCGGGTGGCGCTGTGGGTAAAACCACAGTGCCTAGGACTTGCCGATCGTATGGTCGGCGGTTCGAATCCCCGCGGCGGAGTGAGCTCCCGTCTTTCGGTCCCAGCTCCTGCCCACCTAGCAGTTCAAAAGCACCCATAAAGTGCAAGTAAATAAATAGGTACCGCTTTATAGCGGGAAGGTAAACGGAGTTCCGTGTGCTGCTCTGGTGCAGGCTCGCCACAGCAGCTATGTCACACTGGCCACGTGACCCGGAAGTGTCTGCGGACGGCGCCGGCTCCCGGCCTCTAGAGTGAGATGAGCGCACAACCCTAGAGTCTGTCAAGACTGGCCCGTACGGGCAGGGGTACCTTTACCTTTACCTTTATGCTGCCTATAGCCAGCCCTGGTCAGCAATGTTTCTGAAGCTCTTTGAGCCAGTTGAAATTTCTGAGCACAGAAAGTTCCAGGCAGAAAGTGCATGGCAGCCCCATGTAGAGTGTGTTACAGTGACCCCTACACAATGTGGCACCAGAATGCCTCTTGGGGGGGTAATTATCTGTTCTAAACACTGCAAAGAGAAGAAGATAGCATCCCTGTTTGCCTCTGTAAAAGCGCTTTCATCTTGACCTGCCATACAGCATAGGTCTCGGGCGTGAGGAGAGGAAAGGGCAGAGTCATCTGGCCAGAATGTGCACAGGCCATGTCTGCTATCACTTAAAGCAAGACACTTCCTTCGTGCAACACAGATAAAGCCTTGACTCCTTCAGCCACTCTCTCTCCCACTCAGAGCGCAATTAACAGGCAAACAGGGATGCTATCTTCTTTCCTTTTGGCAGTCAGCAACACACCTCCATAAATCAAGCAGCAGCAACAGCGGCAGCTTGAACACTCTGCTCCAAAACAGCTCTGCTTCTGGGCACCACAAATCAGTCCAGCATGCAGCCTCCGTTCCGCCGTCCAGCAATCAGCAACAGAACGTCTGGTGACTGGGACGACTGGGACAATGTCTGGTCAGACGACTGGAACAACGACTGGGCCCATAACCGATGTCAGCATCGCCCTTGAGCCAGTGCCACCAACTGGACTCATCCACTTCAGCCCCGACTGGGCTAGGCGAGCTGGGTAGCACTTCCAGAGACCACCTTCTGCACAGGAACAGGTCAAAGTGCTGTGGACTCACAGCTTAGAGTTGTGAGCACCGGATTCACTTCCACAAGAAGACAGTCGTCGCACAGCAGAGTATAGCAGAGTATAGCAGAGTATAAACGACTCGGAGAGCAGCTCTGTAGAATATCTTCTTTATTCTATCTACAGCTATAATACAAAACTATATACAGAGCTTAATGAGGTCTAAGCATAAATGAATGCTGAACCGCACTGAGTGCCTGCAGCTGCTCTTAGCAGCAACCCTATCTATACACACGATCTCTAACACTCAGTCTCTCTCTCTCTCCAACACACTGACTGACTGACTCTTTGATGTGGTGCTGGAGCAGAATAAGTAGAGAGCAGAACATTGCCCCTCCTCTCTGGAAAATCACCAGACTCATCAGGAGATTCTTTGATATGGGAAGGGTGAAATCTCCTCACTCCCTTGGACCCCTTCCTTGACACCAAGGGGAGCTCCTCTTCTGGGGCTAAAAGCATTGCTGTGGAGGTTTCATTTTTGTCATGATTGCAAGGGAAGAAGGGAAGGTAACCCCCCCCCCAACACAAAGAACTGAATGAAAATAGCCCTGTCTGAGCGATTAGCTACTGGAGAGCATAATGTGGGGTTTAGTTGTGATGCTCACCTGCCTCCCTGGATGAGTCTTTTCTTGGGTTCAGGGAGCTGGGGGAGCAACATGAAGTTCCCAGGTTACATTTCCTTCTGGTCAGCTATTCCAGCTCTTGTCTCCTCGCCATTTCTTTATGGAGGGGCAAAAGCTATGCACTTTGTATAGACGCAAGTATAACCAACAACAAAATAACTCTGCAACCAATCAGAGGGAAACAATGCTGCTGGCACCAATCAAAGGCTAGCCCCCTTCCTCTGCAGGGCGGGGGAGAAGCCAGAAGGGAGGGAGGAAGTGCCGCCGTCAGGAAGAGAAAAAGAGAGAGAGAAATGGTGCAGCCCAAACTATATGAATCAGAACCATGAGGCGATTTCTGGACCTTCAGTGGGCCGGATCCAGAACCCATTCGGGTCAGAACCAGCCCGTGGCCCTTAGATTGCTGACCTCTGTCCAGAGACTTCACAGCCATCTTCACTTCCTAGGAACTCTGGGAACTGTAGTTCTGGGAGGAACCTCTCAGAGGTTTCTGAGCCTCCTCAGCCAACTACAATTAGACATCCTGAGACTACAATTCCCAGAAAAGCTGGACCAAGGCCTTTAGCCACAGCCCTGACCAAATAACGGACCTCTCTCTTCTCTCCCACTCCACCTCCCACATTCACAACAAATCAGTCTCCCACTCCTCAGTCCCTTTCACTCATCTCCCCTAGCCCTAATTCTTTCACATTCCTTTAAAACATTTCTGTGAACTAAGGAACACAAAAAAACACCCTCACTGGTCACCTTCCACGGGTCAAAAGCCAATGCAGAAAATATTTAATAAAAACAGCACAAAACAGGTACACAAGAGCACAGAAAATAGGAGATGAGTTTTAAAAGCAATCCCAAATGAACATTTAACACAGGGACCTTTCATTCAGCTGGAAAATGCTATCTATCAGTAAAAAGCTCTTCAATAGATTATGCAAAGTTCAAGTAAAGAGCGCCTGGAATGCTGATCTACAAGGCAAGGGCAGCCCATCATTTTGGCAGTGAAAGGCGGACCTGAAAACTCAACAGATTCAACACACACCTTGAGCATTGCAGATTCACATTCTCTCCCTGTTTATCTAGCAAAAAGTTGCCACTTACTTTGTACATTTAGTATATGTGACCTTCATTACTTTAATACGTATATATGTGTATACAAATTTAAGTAGAAACACTAAAACATCATTCCATGCATTTACAACTGATTTCCCCCTTTATGAGTTTCTTGATGTAAGTAGTGAACCCTGAGTGAAAAACTCCATACATTTATATTGTTTTCCCCATGTGAATTTACTAATGAATATTAAGGTCTCCACTCCCTCTGAAGCCCTTTCCCCATTCAATAAACCCGTAGTTTTCATTGTGTGTGTGTTAGCTGATGTCTTCTAAGGTGTTCATTTTTACTGAAGCTATTTGCACAATCCACACATTTAAATGGTTTCTCACCTGTGTGAGTTTGTTGATGTATTCTAAGTTTCCCACTTTCACTGAAGCACGTTCCACATTCAATACATTTAAATGGTTTCTCCCCTGTGTGAGTTCTTTGGTGTATTCTAAGAGTTCCACTTTCACTGAAGCACGTTTCACATTCAATACATTTAAATGGTTTCTCCCCAGTGTGAGTTTGTTGATGTATTCTAAGTTTCCCACTTTCACTGAAGCTCTTTCCACATTCAATACATTTAAATGGTTTCTCCCCAGTGTGAGTTCGTTGATGTCTTCTAAGTGCTCCATTATTACTGAAGCTTTTTCCACATTCAATACATTTAAATGGTTTCTCCCCTGTGTGAGTTCGTTGGTGTATTCTAAGGACTCCATATTGCCTGAAGCTCTTTCCACATTCAATACATTTAAATGGTTTCTCCCCCGTGTGAGTTCGTTGATGTCTTCTAAGTGCTCCATTCTTACTGAAGCTTTTTCCACATTCAATACATTTAAATGGTTTCTCCCCAGTGTGAGTTCGTTGATGCATTCTAAGTTTCCCACTTTCACTGAAGCTCTTTCCACATTCAATACATTTAAATGGTTTCTCCCCAGTGTGAGTTCGTTGATGTATTCTAAGTGTCCCACTTTGACTGAAGCTTTTTCCACATTCAATACATTTAAATCGTTTCTCCCCTGTGTGAGTTCGTTGATGTCTTCTAAGTGATCCACTTACACTGAAGCACTTTCCACATTCAATACATTTAAATGGTTTCTCACCTGTGTGAGTTCGTTGATGTATTCTAAGTTTCTCACTTTCACTGAAGCTTTTTCCACATTCGATACATTTAAATGGTTTCTCCCCTGTGTGAGTTCGTTGATGTATTCTAAGTGCCCCACTTTGACTGAAGCTCTTTCCACATTCAATACATTTAAATGGTTTCTCCCCAGTGTGAGTTCGTTGATGTATTCTCAGTGCTCCATTCTTACTGAAGCTTTTTCCACATTCGATACATTTAAATGGTTTCTCCCCTGTGTGAGTTCGTTGATGTCTTCTAAGTGCTCCACTTTCACTGAAGCACTTTCCACGTTCAATACATTTAAATGGTTTCTCCCCAGTGTGAGTTCGTTGATGTATTCTAAGTTTCTCACTTTCACTGAAGCTTTTTCCACATTCGATACATTTAAATGGTTTCTCCCCTGTGTGAGTTCGTTGATGTATTCTCAGTGCTCCATTATTACTGAAGCTTTTCCACATTCAATACATTTAAATGGTTTCTCCCCAGTGTGAGTTCGTTGATGTATTCTAAGTTTCCCACTTTCACTGAAGCTCTTTCCACATTCAATACATTTAAATGGTTTCTCCCCTGTGTGAGTTCGTTGATGTCTTCTAAGTGCTCCATTCTTATTGAAGCTTTTTCCACATTCAATACATTTAAATGGTTTCTCCCTGTGTGAGTTCGTTGGTGTATTCTAAGGACTCCATATTGCCTGAAGCTCTTTCCACATTCAATACATTTAAATGGTTTCTCCCCCGTGTGAGTTCGTTGATGTCTTCTAAGTGCTCCATTCTTACTGAAGCTTTTTCCACATTCAATACATTTAAATGGTTTCTCCCCAGTGTGAGTTCGTTGATGCATTCTAAGTTTCCCACTTTCACTGAAGCTCTTTCCACATTCAATACATTTAAATGGTTTCTCCCCAGTGTGAGTTCGTTGATGTATTCTAAGTGTCCCACTTTGACTGAAGCTTTTTCCACATTCAATACATTTAAATCGTTTCTCCCCTGTGTGAGTTCGTTGATGTCTTCTAAGTGATCCACTTACACTGAAGCACTTTCCACATTCAATACATTTAAATGGTTTCTCACCTGTGTGAGTTCGTTGATGTATTCTAAGTTTCTCACTTTCACTGAAGCTTTTTCCACATTCGATACATTTAAATGGTTTCTCCCCTGTGTGAGTTCGTTGATGTATTCTAAGTGCCCCACTTTGACTGAAGCTCTTTCCACATTCAATACATTTAAATGGTTTCTCCCCAGTGTGAGTTCGTTGATGTATTCTCAGTGCTCCATTCTTACTGAAGCTTTTTCCACATTCGATACATTTAAATGGTTTCTCCCCTGTGTGAGTTCGTTGATGTCTTCTAAGTGCTCCACTTTCACTGAAGCACTTTCCACGTTCAATACATTTAAATGGTTTGTCCCCAGTGTGAGTTCGTTGATGTATTCTAAGTTTCTCACTTTCACTGAAGCTTTTTCCACATTCGATACATTTAAATGGTTTCTCCCCTGTGTGAGTTCGTTGATGTATTCTCAGTGCTCCATTCTTACTGAAGCTCTTTCCACATTCAATACATTTAAATGGTTTCTCCCCAGTGTGAGTTCGTTGATGTATTCTAAGTGCTCCACTTTCGCTGAAACTCTTTCCACATTCAATACATTTAAATGGTTTCTCCCCTGTGTGAGTTCGTTGGTGTACTCTAAGTGCTTCATTCTTACCGAAGCTTTTTCCACATTCAATACATTTAAATGGTTTCTCCCCAGTGTGAGTTCGTTGATGTCTTCTAAGTGCTCCATTCTTATTGAAGCTTTTTCCACATTCAATACATTTAAATGGTTTCTCCCCAGTGTGAGTTCGTTGATGTATTCTAAGTTTCCCACTTTCACTGAAGCTCTTTCCACATTCAATACATTTAAATGGTTTCTCCCCAGTGTGAGTTCGTTGATGCATTCTAAGTGTCCCACTTTGACTGAAGCTTTTTCCACATTCAATACATTTAAATGGTTTCTCCCCTGTGTGAGTTCGTTGATGTCTTCTAAGTGCTCCACTTTCACTGAAGCACTTTCCACATTCAATACATTTAAATGGTTTCTCACCTGTGTGAGTTCGTTGATGTATTCTAAGTTTCTCACTTTCACTGAAGCTTTTTCCACATTCGATACATTTAAATGGTTTCTCCCCTGTGTGAGTTCGTTGATGTATTCTAAGTGCCCCACTATGACTGAAGCTCTTTCCACATTCGATACATTTAAATGGTTTCTCCCCTGTGTGAGTTCGTTGATGTATTCTAAGGACTCCATATTGCCTGAAGCTCTTTCCACATTCAATACATTTAAATGGTTTCTCCCCGGTATGAGTTCGTTGATGTCTTCTAAGTGCTCCATTCTTACTGAAGCTTTTTCCACATTCAATACATTTAAATGGTTTCTCCCCAGTGTGAGTTCGTTGATGTATTCTAAGTTTCCCACTTTCACTGAAGCTCTTTCCACATTCAATACATTTAAATGGTTTCACCCCAGTGTGAGTTCATTGATGCATTCTAAGTGTCCCACTTTGACTGAAGCTTTTTCCACATTCAATACATTTAAATGGTTTCTCCCCTGTGTGTGTTCGTTGATGTCTTCTAAGTGCTCCACTTTCACTGAAGCTCTTTCCACATTCAATACATTTAAATGGTTTCTCCCCAGTGTGAGTTCGTTGATGTATTCTAAGTGTCCCACTTTGACTGAAGCTTTTTCCACATTCAATACATTTAAATCGTTTCTCCCCTGTGTGAGTTCGTTGATGTCTTCTAAGTGATCCACTTACACTGAAGCACTTTCCACATTCAATACATTTAAATGGTTTCTCACCTGTGTGAGTTCGTTGATGTATTCTAAGTTTCTCACTTTCACTGAAGCTTTTTCCACATTCGATACATTTAAATGGTTTCTCCCCTGTGTGAGTTCGTTGATGTATTCTAAGTGCCCCACTTTGACTGAAGCTCTTTCCACATTCAATACATTTAAATGGTTTCTCCCCAGTGTGAGTTCGTTGATGTATTCTCAGTGCTCCATTCTTACTGAAGCTTTTTCCACATTCGATACATTTAAATGGTTTCTCCCCTGTGTGAGTTCGTTGATGTCTTCTAAGTGCTCCACTTTCACTGAAGCACTTTCCACGTTCAATACATTTAAATGGTTTGTCCCCAGTGTGAGTTCGTTGATGTATTCTAAGTTTCTCACTTTCACTGAAGCTTTTTCCACATTCGATACATTTAAATGGTTTCTCCCCTGTGTGAGTTCGTTGATGTATTCTCAGTGCTCCATTCTTACTGAAGCTCTTTCCACATTCAATACATTTAAATGGTTTCTCCCCAGTGTGAGTTCGTTGATGTATTCTAAGTGCTCCACTTTCGCTGAAACTCTTTCCACATTCAATACATTTAAATGGTTTCTCCCCTGTGTGAGTTCGTTGGTGTACTCTAAGTGCTTCATTCTTACCGAAGCTTTTTCCACATTCAATACATTTAAATGGTTTCTCCCCAGTGTGAGTTCGTTGATGTCTTCTAAGTGCTCCATTCTTATTGAAGCTTTTTCCACATTCAATACATTTAAATGGTTTCTCCCCAGTGTGAGTTCGTTGATGTATTCTAAGTTTCCCACTTTCACTGAAGCTCTTTCCACATTCAATACATTTAAATGGTTTCTCCCCAGTGTGAGTTCGTTGATGCATTCTAAGTGTCCCACTTTGACTGAAGCTTTTTCCACATTCAATACATTTAAATGGTTTCTCCCCTGTGTGAGTTCGTTGATGTCTTCTAAGTGCTCCACTTTCACTGAAGCACTTTCCACATTCAATACATTTAAATGGTTTCTCACCTGTGTGAGTTCGTTGATGTATTCTAAGTTTCTCACTTTCACTGAAGCTTTTTCCACATTCGATACATTTAAATGGTTTCTCCCCTGTGTGAGTTCGTTGATGTATTCTAAGTGCCCCCACTATGACTGAAGCTCTTTCCACATTCGATACATTTAAATGGTTTCTCCCCTGTGTGAGTTCGTTGATGTATTCTAAGGACTCCATATTGCCTGAAGCTCTTTCCACATTCAATACATTTAAATGGTTTCTCCCCGGTATGAGTTCGTTGATGTCTTCTAAGTGCTCCATTCTTACTGAAGCTTTTTCCACATTCAATACATTTAAATGGTTTCTCCCCAGTGTGAGTTCGTTGATGTATTCTAAGTTTCCCACTTTCACTGAAGCTCTTTCCACATTCAATACATTTAAATGGTTTCACCCCAGTGTGAGTTCATTGATGCATTCTAAGTGTCCCACTTTGACTGAAGCTTTTTCCACATTCAATACATTTAAATGGTTTCTCCCCTGTGTGTGTTCGTTGATGTCTTCTAAGTGCTCCACTTTCACTGAAGCACTTTCCACATTCAATACATTTAAATGGTTTCTCACCTGTGTGAGTTCGTTGATGTATTCTAAGTTTCTCACTTTCACTGAAGCTTTTTCCACATTCGATACATTTAAATGGTTTCTCCCCTGTGTGAGTTCGTTGATGTATTCTAAGTGCCCCACTATGACTGAAGCTCTTTCCACATTCGATACATTTAAATGGTTTCTCCCCTGTGTGAGTTCGTTGATGTATTCTAAGTGCCCCACTTTGACTGAAGCTCTTTCCACATTCAATACATTTAAATGGTTTCTCACCTGTGTGAGTTCGTTGATGTATTCTAAGTGCTCCACTTTCGCTGAAACTCTTTCCACATTCAATACATTTAAATGGTTTCTCCCCTGTGTGAGTTCGTTGATGTATTCTAAGTGTTCGACGGTCATTGAAGCTCTTTCCACATTCAAAACATTCAAATCCTTTCTCCCCCGTATTAGTTCGTTGATATATTCTAAGTTTTCCACTTTCACTGAAGCCCCTTCCACATTCCATACATTCAAATAGTTTCTCTCCTTTGTGAGTTTGTTGTTGTATCCTCAGTTTCTTTCTTCTTCCCAATAAATTCACATGTGGCTCCATAGAATTCTGACTTTCATCTTCCTCACCTGTTTGGGAGTCTGGGAGGAAAGAGAATCCTGTTAGACTTTCAAGAAAGACAAAAAGGGAACTGCACACATGTCAATCCCAGTCTGCACCTTCTCTCATTTTAACACTGTCTCCATTCTCCACTGTCCTCTCTAGGTTTCAAATTTTTAGGAATTAATATGAGATAATGGCAAGAGCAACACATGATCACTCCATTCACACTTGGCAAAGCACCATCATTTTATAATACAGATCTATGGTGGAATTGGCTTTTTAGACACATCTATTTTTACTTTCTGAAGTGAAGAAATGATCTCAGGGTAAAGTAACGGTATCTCCCTTGTGAAATAAATAAAACTTAAGTGCTACATGTAACTGTAGAAATATTGCAATATATTGGAACCTAAGAAGAGCCTGCTGGATCAGGCAAAGGCCCACCTAGTCCAGCATCCTCTTCTCACAGAGGCCAACCAGATGCCTGTGGGAAACCGGCAAGCAGGACTGGAGCACAAGAGTCTTCTCTGCCTTCCTGTGCTTTCCAGAAACTAGTATTAAGAAGCGTTATTGCCTAGGACCGCGAGGGCAGAGCAGAGACGTCAGTCTTATCCTTTTCTTCAAGCTATCCATGTTTCTGGCCATAACCGTCTCCTGTAGGATAGATTCCATAAATGAACTATGCTTCTGTTTTTTCATCTTTGCAGCCGTTAAAAGCTGATAAATGTATTATGACCTAAGCTTTTGTGGGCTGCAGTCTGACAAAGTGGACTCTTGACCAGGAAAGCTGGTGCCGCTATAAACCTCTGAGTCCCTTTGTTGGCTTTTTGTACTTATGGAATGTGAAGCAGGGGAGGAGCAGCCAAGCTGCAGCAGGAGCAAAGAACAAAGAGCAGGAAGAGGGGGTGCCGTGGGGGGGGGACACAGACCGTCAGCTCCAGTTTGAGGTCTGACACAGAGACCCCGGAAATAGCCTGTCCAAACAATCGGAGGCTCGAGAGAATCTGCGAGAAGAGGGGAAAAGAAAGCGAAAGTGGGGCTTCTTTGCTGGAGGACTCGGCAACTGCAAGATGGGAGGAACAGGCCGAAGACTGAGCTCCACAGTGATTTGTGAGTTTGAGCATTAAGCCTGAGATAATTACTACTGGAGTTGTTTCGCGTCTGTGCGGGAGAACCAAGCCATTACACAGGGGCGCTAAAATTATTATCCCACTCACTCACTCTCACAAACAACCCCAGTCTGTAAGATTTACACAATTTCCTTATAATACCATCCGCTCTTGTACTTTATATGCCCAATCCTAAGTGTAGAGCCTCCAGTTACAGGAATCCTGTATTATGATAACTGGTCCTTTGTCCCTTAACCCCACCAAACTGGGGAGGTGCATGCATTTATTGTGTTTTGATGCTGGTGGAATTTATCATTCTGACCCTGTCTCTAAAAAATAAGAGTAATAGAAACAATTTAAATACATTAATTATAAATAATTATGTGAAGCATTTCTGTTCCCCTTCACCCATTTTTTAGGATTGGTGTGCAACATCATTATCATCAATTATTCCCACCGTGGAAATAACACCTAAGATTTCAAAGCCTGGAGGAAGAAAATCTGCCCCCACTACTTTAGGAAAAGGATTCAAGAAACAAAGAGCTGCTTCGGAGAAGGCCTCACCCCTTCCTTCTTCCTGTCAGGAACTTCCTTCCATTTGTCTCCTCTCCATCTTTTCCTCTTTCTCCCTCCACCATCCATCTATCCCTGTCCCCATCTCCTCTCCTCTGGAACTCACCAGATTTCTCCAAGGGTCCTGGGAGGGAATGCTCAGAGTTTGTGGGGAGGGATGCGGGAGAGAGCCTGACCAGGTCAACCGTCCATCTTCCTCCTTCCATCCTGGCCAGGGTTGCAGGTTCAGTCTCAGCTAGGTTTGCAGGTTCAGCTTCCTGAGGAGCGCAGAATCCAAAGCAAGTTGCAGCTTCCTGGGAGGGAGGGAAGAAGAAGCCAAGGGAGTCTGAGAGCCCCTGCAGGGATTCTCCTGCCCAAGACATTCTACTGCCCCTGGAGAAGCCCCAATTGGGCACCCCCTTCCCAAGGGCACCCCCTTCCCAAGGTGCATTTTCAAACACCTTTGGCAATTCTTTTCACCTGCCTGTCCCACCTCCCTTCCTAAGGCTGGCATGGTATGCACATTAGTGGCCTGAGAGTAGATTCCTGGGAACTTAAAAGTTAATCTGCAAAGGACTGCTCTGAATACATGGGTGGCCCTTGCATGGAGAAGAAGGAAGCCCCTTGCTTGCATCTGGACCCCTTGGGAGAGGCGGGGGATCCGCCCACTGCTCCCTCTGCCCTCGCTGCCTCTTCCTCTGTCCTCCTGCCCTGCAAACACCCTTTGCTCTTGTTTCTCAGGGGAGAGAGGCAGAAAGAGCCTTCAAACCCATCCGTTTCCTCCTCTGCTCCCCCTCCTGTCCTTTTGGGAAACAGGAACTTTGGTCAGGAGTAAACAACTTAGACGGCAAGTTTGCAAGATAAGCACTTTGGAGCACTGCTTGTTCCTACTATGTGTGTGTCTGTGTGTGTTTGGACCTAGAGGACAACATACATGTTTACACCACGTGATTCCTTAAAGAGGGCGATTCTTTAAAACTGAAGGCCATTTCTACGAAATGGAAGACTTCCGAAGGCAGCCTTTTACAGGGAAATTTTTGCTTGTTTTTATATTGTTGGAAGCTACCCAGATGGGCAGAGGTAACCCAGTCAGATAGGCAGGAAGAAAGTAATAATAATAATAATAATAATAATAATAATAATAATAATTGCTTCCTAAGCCTGTCCTGGGACGTGGGTGGCACTGTGGGTTAAACCACAGAGCCTAGGACTTGCCGATCAGAAGGTCGGCGGTTTGCATCCCTGTGACGGGGTGAGCTCCCGTTTCTCGGTCCCTGCTCCTGCCAACCTAGCAGTTCGAAAGCACATCAAAGTGCAAGTAGATAAATAGGTACCGCTTTGACAGAAAGGTAAGCAGCGTTCCCGTGCACTGCTCTGGTTCGCAAGAAGCGGCTTAGTCATGCTGGCCACATGACCCGAAAAGTGTACGACGGCTCCCTCGGCCAGTAAAGCGAGATGAGCTCCACAACCCCAGAGTCGGCCACGACTGGACCTAATGGTCAGGGGTCCTTTACCTTTTTAAGCCTGTCCTGATTGGCATGCTGATCACAGACTCTGTCCAAACAACCCCTTTGAATGCAACAGGGCTTCCTATTTTTACTGCTATCAGTGGGAACAGTCAAACCACGAAGCCACTGATCAACCAGAGTTTCCTGTTTTGACCAAGCAGAGTTTGAAGTTAGCTTAATATCCCAGCTTATTCCAAAGCTGCCAGCTGCAGTTTCCTGGTTTGGGCAAAATGGAAGGTTTGTTACCTATGGCTCATAAGATATTGCCTGGTTTCATCACAGTTCACCATCAGGGCCGGCCCAATCATGAGATAAGCTGGGACAATTAGGTCAGGAGGCAGATGCAGGGAGAGATGGGACCAGCACATTCCCAGCTCCCCTGTTTGTAAGCCTTGCTGTCAGTGCAGGACCACACCTGGTAAATTTGTGCAACTACCCATTTAGAGTCTTTTTCTTTTGCCCTCTCTCACTAAAGGTTGGGTGGGGGTCCTTCATGGAGTGATGCATTCTGGTTGTGGGGGCCAGGAGACTGCGGTGGTGGCTAGAGTTTTTGGTTTTAATCTTGAGTCAATTTAGGTTGTATCGTATCTTTGCTGCAGCAATGCATTAATAACTGTTCCTATTTTTAACCCAGATTTTCAGGCTGTGATTCAGTCACCTGAACCTGACCATTATCCTAATAAATCTTGCAACAACCTTGCAAAATAGGCCAGTGTTATTTAATGCAAGTACACATGGGATCGCTGAGGCTGCAAGACGTGCCAAGAGATTTACCTCAGTGGGGAGAAAAGAGCATTTTGGAAATGAAGGCAATTTAGAGGAGGAAAATGAGGATTGGTGGCAGATCACCTCTTCTGACGTAGCTTCTGCTCTGATAAAATTCAGAGTCCCCTGCAGCTGTTTAAGTAAAGTAAGAACATCAGGAGATAAGATCGCAAACCTCCCATGTGTAAGAAAGTTTGGTCTAGCAAGTCTTTTTAAAGTGGATTAGAGAGAAAGTGCAGGGAGGAGGAATAACCACCACCATAGCTGTTGAGAGGCAGTGGACCTGTGACCTCCAGGTGCTGGAAACCCAGGTGAGAGGAGGGCACTTACCTTTCCCAGAAGCCCCTCAGTGTCTGGGAGCAGGGTCTGGTCTGTCCCCCCTGCTCTCCCACTGGGCCACCAACTGGCATCTGCAGCTCCCCTGAAAGGGAGGACACCATCCCCAGATTGGGGAGGACTGGGAGCCTGTGGGGTTTCCCACCCTGAACGAGGGGGCTGCATCGTCTTCAGGAAATCCTGCTTCTGGGCCTCCCAGTGCTGCTGCGGCTGCCCCTCCTCTGGCTCCTGCTTAATCTGACATAAATCTGCCCGAGGCAGAAGATCCCTGATGGTCCCAACTTGGCCGGCAGGAGGTTTCTTTCCTTTGCACTCCAGTCTCTCCCTTTGAATGGGTCTCCTGGGTCCCTGCTCTTCCATTTTTACGCCACCCTGCTGGAAAAGAAATAAACACAAAGTAAAATAAAACCCAAGAATAAAAACAAAAGTCCATTTTTTAACCATTTGCCAGTTTTTGAAATATATTATTACTCTTTCTATTTCTAATGTTCAGGCTGTGAATGACAATCATTATGTCACCCAAACGGCTCCTCCCAGGGAGAAGGGGAAGTTATCCAAAGACTGGGGGAAACATCAAGGTTTATGGAAGTACAAATAATATTTGGGGGTGGGGGAACCAAGGCAGTGGGAGGGAAATCCAAAAACAACCCAGT